CTCTCTCTCTCTCTCTCTCTCTCTCTGTGTGTGTGTGTGTGTGTGTGTTTTTCTTAAACCATCTCAACACTGATTTTCATTAAATCCAAAACAGATGTGTTATAATAATGTTCACTCACTTAAGCACAGAATTCAAAAATATTTTGATTACTTGCATATGAATTAGAGTGGAAACACTCAATAGTCAACTCAATTCCTATACCTTATAAATACAAAAAATCACATTTTTTAATTAAAAAGGTTTTGTCTTTTATATAATGATTGTAAATCATGAACACCTTAAAGATTGAATACATTAACTAATAATTATGTTCACACAAAATGAGCATTTTATACAGAATATACAGAATGAACAAAACTTAATATATAAATATTTGCATATTTTCAGTACTGTATTGTAATGCAAATATTTTAGTTGACATAAACTTCAAAACACTTGCAGTGTAGGAGCTATGGCTTTATTAATGATAATTATTGACTATTTTCCCCGAAACGCCCTTAACTTATATATTTAAAAATAGTTTTGTTTGCGATTGGCATTTAAAATAGCGCTTTAAAAACATGCTTTCAAACGATAATATTATTTTTAAAATATATTTCAATATGATTATCATTGAAGGAATTGGTTGTGAATGAGATCGAGCAAAGGAATTGGAAGGGAATACTCATCTCGCTATTGGTATGAAATATTTATCATTATTTTTGAAACAAATTTACATTATTCATAAATGTACTAAAAAATGTTTTTCAATATTTTTTCAGGTAATCGTTAGCATTTGTTCGCTAATACTTTTATCAATATTCATATTAAGTCCGCGTAAGTCTTGTATACTGTATACAATATACATTTTAATTGTATTATATTTTTTAACACACCTATTATTGCACAATATATTGCTTTTTACTTTGTTTTGTTGTATTACTGCTATTAATCTTATGGTTGAATAAATTATGAAAAAGGCATTCAAATAATCGATTTGTGACTTTACGAGAGGCGGTAATGAGTGAAACACTTTATTTTCACTGCCCATTAAAGCGCTCGTTATTATTAAATCAAATTCTTGTTTATCTATACTGTAATCGTATGAAAGAGAGACACAAATGTCACGTCTAATGAGGATTCTGTTGTCAGAGAATAGGACGACATTATGGGATTAGCTTTCAATATATTATGAGCTTAATGTCTGGCATTTCAATTATAGCATAGTTTTTGATTGTCTCTCCAATTGATTCACTTGTTTTTACATTTAAATACCAGTTAAGAGTCTTAACTTAAGACATCTAATAATAGTTTAATAATTCTTACAGATTAAAGATGATATTAAAACTCAAAAATGTCTATTTTTCTTTGATTCATATAAATGTTAATTAATATTTGTATATCAATCAAGATTTTGGGATCAATGAGACGGAAAGACTAAAATTGGATGATTTTCTGGCCAAAGGCTATAAGAAGAAAGGCTATAACGGGACGTGGATTTCAGAGCGAGAGATATTATTTATCGATAACAACGACTCATTCATTATCTATAATATCGACACCAAATATAAGAGCGTATTAGTCGATGGCATTAATTTGGTATTTAAATGAAATATTTATCTATATTATACATTAAACTCATTAATTAAAAACATAACATTAATTATTCCTAATCTATATCTCTATGGCATTTAGCGAACGAATAACATTAGTATCAAAAAGTTTAGCGTTTCGGCGGACAGAAGGTATCTCTTATTGTCCAATGATGTGATCCAAACGGGAAGTCATTCATTCATTGCTAAATACACTATATATGACACCAACACTAACATATGGGTGCCTCTCGTTATGCCCGACCAAACCGATTATCTACAACACGCCGGTTGGGCTCCCAATGCCAATCAACTCGTATGACTATTCAAACTATTCCATCGTTTATTTCCATTATCTTATTATTGTCTCTGAATTTTTGGCGATTAACAGATCGTAATCCATAAGAATAACATTTACTTCTACTTCCGAGTTGGAGACCAACCAATACAACTCACCACAAATGGTAGGGAAGGCTTTATATACAATGGCATTCCCGATCTCATGTATGAGGGTATGTATACTTTCAACACATTTTACAATATAATTGCTTAAAATATTTAACCTCTCTCTCTCTCTCTCTCTCTCTCTCTCTCCCCTCTCTCCTCAGAACACATACTTGAGAGTCATTTGGCCTATTGGTGGATAAATGACGGCTCCCGTCTCTGTTACGCCTCATTTGACAATACATTAGTAGATCAGATGCCATACATTATATACGGCGCGACCAACTCTACGGGTCAGTCCAAACCGCTGGGAGTGGGCGCTGACAACGACTACCCAAAAGTCTATACCTATCCGTATTCAAAACCCGGTCGCGAGATATCAAAAGTGACGCTAACTATCATCGATATAAGTGCTCCCAATTATGTGAGTCATACGCGACCGCAGATCATACCGCCCGACGAAATACGCGGTTGGGATCACTACATAACCGCACCACTCGTTTGGATCAGTAGATCCAGTGTCGCCGTGATTTGGTCGCGAAGATCGCAGAACCACACCGTCATCAGTGTCTGCAAAGAGGAGAACAATTGGATGTGCAATAAGTTAGTGGACGAACAGTTGAGTAGTACCAGCGGTTGGCTTATGGTTAATGAGGGACCCATTCTGTCCGACGACAAGAAACACATGTTTATGCGCCTACCGGTGGCCGACGGCATATTCGGCACTTACGATCACATCGCTATGATATACACAGAAAGTGGCAAAAAATATTTCCTAACTCATGGCCAATGGGTTGTCACCAAACTATTTGCTTATCGATCAGATTTACACACTTTGTAAGTATTATTTTCAGTAATATTTATTATAATAATACAATTTAACTATAATTTACAATACATTATTAATATGAATATATTGTAAAAATTGTGTAAATATTTTTTAGATACTTTGCGGCGACGGTGTATAATGAGCCGGGAATTAGGTATTTAAACGGCATATATAATAATATTGATATAATTAATGATTAACTATAATTCTCTGATAAATAGGCATATATTTTCTGTAACGGATATGAATGCTCCAAATCCTCGACATATTGAATGCCTTTCTTGTAATGTCAGCGAAAAATGTTTGTTTAATAACGCGATATTCAGTCCAAACGGTCGCTATTATATATCCGAGTGTCTGGGTATGTGTGATGATTGACCCAAAACCATGTTTTCTATACTAAATTACATATAATTTGGTCAATATATAGGACCGGATATTCCGACCACATATCTGCTAACAGTTGATGACAACAAATTCATCGAAACGCTTGATATAAACGAAGAATTGAGGAAAACATTTGCGAAGACATCGTTGCCTAAAATCAAATACTTGACAATCCGTAGCGATAAGGGATCCGATATAAGGATTGAACTCATTTTACCACAACTTCTCATCGAAGACGAAGACACCAAATATCCAGCTGTTATTGAACTGTATGTTTGACTAAACGGCTAAATTGTCATTCACCATGTTCATTCATATATATTTAATTTTAATACATACTTCGCAAACAGCAATAACCGTCCGGACGTCCAATCGGTAAATTATGAGCACCGACTCGATTGGTCGAGATATTTGACGAGCAAAAAGGATTACATAACCATTCATATCGACGTGAAGGGCACTGGATATCAGGGGAATCGGCATATGTTTGAAGTGATCGGCGAATTGGGCAAAGAGGAGGTCCAAGACTTGAAATACGCGATCACGTAATATACATGATATTATTGCTTTAAAAACTGCCAAATAATAAAGTGATTGATTTAATAGTTATTTGAAAAAATCGCTGCCGTATATCGATAAGGACAAGATCGTGGTCTGGGGCCGCGATTACGGCGGCTTTTTAACAGTATCTCTATTGGCCACCGAAGAGATCGTCACGTGTGCCATCGCTGTCACCCCAATCGCCAATTGGAAAAATTACAGTCAGTTTTTATTAATTTTCTAATTTTTTTTAAAGTATTTCATATAAATTGAATGACTATTGTTTAGTGTCTGTATTCTCCGAGCGCTATATCGGTCAGCCTTACTCTAACTTTGACATCAATTACCAAAACTCCCGATTGACACAAATAATTGAACAACATTTCAAAAACTTAAAGG